ATGTACGGCGAGGGGCTCAGAAAGGCCACGCCACGCCTCACACTCCGGTGAGTTGGCCTTATGGGCTCAGAAAAGAAACACAGACTCTACCAGCCTCCCGTGCTACGTGCTCAGCAAGAGCTTCCACGGGGAGGGCATGCCACAAGGGTTCAGAGAAAGGGCTGGAGTTGTCAGGGTGCTTCCTAGAATCTACCAGGTGCCAGGCACTGGGGAAACAAAAACATAGATCTTTAAGCAGTGGCGTTATAGGGTAAGGCGTGGTGTAGAGCTAGGACGTGTAAAGAAACACTACCACCTGATGTAACAGGTGCCCCATGAGAGGCAATCCACCCTGCCTCAGGGGCTCAGAGAAGATTTCCCAGGAAAAGCGATGTCTGAGCCAAAGGAGAAGGGTATCCCAGGGATAGGAACAAGCCCAGGCAAAGGTAAGGCAACATGAGAACACAGGGTTTGGCCAACGATGAGTGATGCAGAGTGGCTGTGGGGTGGACAGCGCTGAGCGGTAAGACACCAGGGACACGTTGGGGTCAGGTTCCAAGAAGCATCACAAAGGCAAATCACTTACTGGTGAGAAGTAGGCAAGTGACATGAATGGCAGAGGATGCCCGTGATGTGCTGGCACTGCCATCGGGCCTGGGAGAGATCACAAGAGGCGGTGGGTGGGGTCAGGGGGAAGGTGAGTTTGGGCATGTGGAGTAGGAGATGCCTGTGAGGCATCCGAGTGGAGATTCCAGTTTGATATGTTTGGACAGGTCTGCCCTGAGGACCAAATGAGACAGGGAGCTGGTTGCTGATGGAGAGCCTTGAACGCCAGGGTCAAGGGCCAAGTCTATCTTCTTTTTTTTTCCTTTTTAAATGTTTTTATTGATTTTTAGAGAGAGAGGAAGGGAGAGGGATAGAGATAAAGAAACATCAGTGATGAGAGACAGTCATTGATGGGCTGCCTCCTGCACACCCCACACTGGAGACCGAGTCCGCAACCTGGGCATGTGCCCTGACCGGGAATTGAACCGCAACCTCCTGGTTCATAGATACCTCCTGGTTCATAGATCGATGCCCAACCACTGAGCCATGTCAGCCAGGCCCAACTCTATAGTCTGTAGGCAAGGAAGAGCTAGGAAGGTTTTAACTAAGATATTATAATGGCTAAGGATTAATGAGGGCTCCTTGCATATTGGGTACAGTTCCAAGTATTTTATATGAACTTATTTGGACCTCACAGTAATCCTATAAGGTGAATACTGCTGCATTTCATGGAATTTAAGAAATCACCAGTCATAATATATATACTGTTATATGTCTTCAATTTAAGATGGATTCTTCAGAGATGTTAAAATGTAAACAGGAAAAATAAGGCCATAGAATCAATGAAATACATGATCTGCATTTAAAATATAAAGAAACAGGAACCGAGAAGTTCGATAACTTGCCCAAGGTCCACTAAGAGACAAAGTCAGGATCTGAAGCTCAATTATTTTTTTAAAAATAATTCTTTATTGTCAAAAGTATTACATATGTCCCCCTTTCCTCCCATTGACCCCCTCCAGCCCACTCCCACCGCCCACCCCAGGCCCTCAGGGCCCGTTGTCTGTGGCCATGGGCCATGTGTATATGCCTACAAGGTCCTTGGTTGATTACTCCCCATCCACCCGCCCTCCCCTCCTTCCCTCGAGACGAAGCCCACGTTCTTAACCATCATTTGATATTGGACCGAAGGTTGTGAGCATGTGGAGTTTTAAGACCAGTGTGGCCTTTGTACTGAGGGTACAAAGTCAGATGGCATAACTTGGAGACAAATCCACAGTGAGAGGGGTCTAGCGGGCTGGGTGCCATGGGGCGGGGGGAGGGGACAGACGGGGTAGAGGTCCTTCATGAATGGGCAGAAGTGGTTGGCCCACTGCATGCTGGGTGTGAAAACAAGGACAGCTCCGAAA